CACAATTTGAATTACAATAAAAATACAATTTACCTATTTTTATTTCTTTCTTCGTTTTATTATTGAAATAAAAAGATATTATATCCTTTTTTTTTTAAATCATTATTAAATATCAATAGTGATTTGGTGTTTTTGTCTGCTTTTAAAGCTAGATAATCAGATATACTATGAGATCGCTTACTAAAATTTTAACCACCTATTAATTTGTTAAACTCAAACAGCATAGGTTTACAGCAGTGTCAGTAAATTATTAAGTTTATGTTTCACTAAGATTTGGTATAATTGAAATGAAAAGTGAAACAAACAACAAAATGTCAATAAGAGTCACAAATCCTCCTAAAATATTTGTCTGTGTAAGGGGAAAATAAAAAGTATCTAAATCCTAAGATAAAGCTTATTATAATGACAGGATTTCATTTTTTTAAAAGTAGACCCGTCCTGGTAAGATGATGATCTCCTTTTATATATTATACACAATTACATAAGATACTGATTATTGCAATACAGTTTCATTAAAATCAATTCCTTCCATTAGCCAGCTAGAGATAAGGGACTCAGACAGATCATAATGTGACAAAAAGAATAGTTTATGTTTTTCCATTGGATATTTAGGAAATGTTTTCGATAAAAAAAATTAAGTAGATTGTGCGCAATGCAAAAAAAGTACAAAAGACTCTCTCTTCATTTCATTGCGCCGTTGACAGATTAAGCTGAGGATCAAAGAAATCATAAAAGGACTAAATAATTTCACTTTTGACCCCTCCCCATTTAAACTGAAAGGGTCTAAATTAATATTAAACAATATAATTTCACACCAAAACCCTTTGAAATGGATTTTCATCTTCTATGAACGAATTGCAGATATAACATATGCCGCCCCATTAGACACTTACATTCAAAATGAAAAAAAAAATCATTCTTTTAAAGGGAAGGTGAAATAAGTTCATGCATAAGTTTGCTTGAATTTTTAAATTAAGACGTCCTAAATTCTCCAGAAAAAAATGTAATGAGATACACGCTGGAAAAGCTTATTTCGTTACTGTAAGAAACCATACACAAACCTAATCTGGTCACAATAAATTCGGAGGTACAATATAAAATAGTCATAAATAAATATACTGACAGTTTGGTTAATATGAATGCTTATGACAGAAGCGAACTGAACCGAAAAAGGAAACCATCTATTACTCCATCCTCAATTTCGAGGTATGTTCCAATTGTCGTAACCACAATTACGTCCTCTTTTCCTCGATTGTCAGATAACCGAATGAGACTTACAATGCATCACCGAATGAGACTTACAATGCATCGCCGAATTTGTACTTATCATCAGCAACACGATAAACTTTTGTTTGTCTTTTCGTCGTTTTTCATTATTTTTTTTTGCCATAACGGTGTCAGTTTCTCCTCATCTTGAAGAGTTTTAAATGCTCTATTGGTATCTTCCGCTTCTTTTTTTTTTCGATATGCGGATGGTAAAGAAGAAAAGTGAATTTAAAAAAGCATGGAAATAGCAAGGATGACACACTAATCATTGACATTATGGGAGACTTCGTACTTTATTTGGCCTTTTTAACTTTTTTTTATTCGAGCGTCACTGATGAGTCTTTTGTAGACGAAACGCGCGTCTGGCGCAAATACAAAAGTTCAATCCTGTTATTTATAATGAGTTTATTTATAGTACTTTGTATTCAGTATGAGTGTATTTTTTATTTACGGTTTGTTTGTTTGTTTGTTTGTTGTGTTTTATTTTTGTTGCAATCGTGAGATTTTATTGTGCAACATTTTTACGATATGGACCGGAAATTTCACTCGTCCAAAAATCGATATTTTTAAGATCAATATTACACAAGAACTCGTATAAGACAAACCGATGAAATTATCGCTGTTAAAGCATTGAATAGCTTTTTCTTATAATAAACATTTTTGTAGTTTAAAATTCATAACTTCTCCTGTTATGTGGCTGTTCTTACTCATATTTTAAAAAGTTTTAGACAAAACTGGTCCGTGTTGATAAATCATCGTAACAATCCGTTAAACAGAATGCTCTGAAATCATCTAAACAAATTTCGCAAAAATGAATGTTTCGCAAAATCGAAGAAAAGACAAAGTTTCTTAAATATAGTCGTATGTTTAATAACTTCAAAGTTATGTGTAATGAATCCATAGATCATTGATGATGTCACGTTAAAAGTTAATTTAAAATTCATTAAACCGCGGTCTAATGATACAGAACCGATATATAAAAAATATAATAAATTATTGACGTATAATTATTGTAAATTTAGACTAAAGGTTTAACTAAAAATAATTCTTTGCATTTAAACGATAATTAATGATTATCAAATGACGTCATGTTGTTATTATTTTTGTCCTATTTTCCACCCTGTCTGCATTTTCAGAATATCAATATATCAATTATAAACATCTATACGTATGATAAAAACATTTCATCTAAACATGACGTGAGTAAATAATCGTAAACATTGAAGAAAAATAATCAAAATTTCTTCAAATTAACTCACTGGCGAAGGAGCCGGGGAAGGCAATACTATGTCTCCCCCACGTTTTAGCAAAGAAAAAAATATTGGAAATGATAGAGGACACTGACTAACTCCTATATATATTATTAGACTATATATAGAAAAGCTTTTTTTTCTTTTATTTGCTTGTCACTTGTCATACCACTCCTACGCCACTATAACTTTAATAAATGATTGTACATCATTCTTCTATTTTGTAAGTATCAAATTTTAAGTTATTTTTTTTTTTAAGTGATAATTACCTCATGGATCACTATAGTTGCATTGGTCATATTATGAACATCATCGAAACATTAAAAACCTAACAACATGCGCTGCAAAATGTACATAATTTGGTGAGAGTAACTTACAATTATTCTACTATCATATTTATATTTCCTGACTGGGTTTTGTCTTAACCTAGCTGTTACAGAATTTGAGATTATTCAACTTTTTGTTCAACAAATGTTTGCTCTTAATGGTGTAAGCTAGTGTTTAATCTTGGGTCATATTTATACTGGATGATTTGTAAAGATATCAATATCACAATCTAAAAATATACCTTTTCTTCTTAGCTTTCTTAATTTCATAAAATAGCATCCTAACATTACGTATAGCTGCATAAGCAATGTTGAATCAGATAAAATTTTCTGCTTGATAATTATACCTCTTTTTGTTTAAGACTCTATGTTATGCCAATTCCTTGATCTGCACGACAGATTGTTTTAATATAAATGTTTACACGAATAACCCATTTTATTGTTGCAAAATATGCATAATTTCATCATAGAATTGGTTGTTCATGGACACATTTATATTAAAACTACACACGAAACCTAGAAAATAAAACTACACACGAAACCTAGAAAATAAAACTACACACGAAACCTAGAAAATAAAACTACACACGAAACCTAGAAAATAAAACTACACACGAAACCTAGAAAAGACAGTAGTTTACCGATGTTTAAATATCGCATTAATTTCATTAGAATATACATTTACCATGAATCGCAGATATCAAGGTGACAGTTGAAAAAATATTAGTGCAAAAAAAAACTGACAATACTATAACCAAAAATCGTTACCAACAATAGTCAGAATTACCATACACAAAAAACTAAAGACAGAGCCACACAAACCTCTGTCAACAAAACCCGGGGAATTCACAGGTGTTCCGGAGGGTGTAAGCAGATCCTGCTCCATTAGTGGCACAAGTCCAGTCGCTCATGAAAAGTAAAAATTCCTTGATTAGGTCGCATTTTGTGACGTCATAATATGCATACATCACCTTTAAGTTCGACCAATGAAAACCGCACCAACAATCAAAATGAAGAAGTGGCAGCTAGAGGACGTGCAATCGACACTTTTCATACCCGTACACTGGAGTTACTTTGAATTGTTTTCTGCAACAGAAAAGTAGCATAAACGAAACACAGTTTGCTGTATCGTATATTGTTATGATGCAACGTTCATTGCTACTCTAAATCTGTCATTTAATAATGTTGTTTGAAAGGCTGGTGGTTAATGGTGCAATTTTAGTGTAATATCCGGTGTACTGAGATACACAGATACTGTAGATCATCTTCGAAAATTCGAATACTCTATTATCAGTTTCAAATCAGTTTTGGGAATAGAATGGGTTTACATATACATTTAAGCTATCGATTAATACTGACTGTGCAAAAAATTATGAGTTGGCACCAGAATAAAGATCAATATTTCCTAAAGTAAATACAAGATCTGATTATTTTTGTATTTTGATATTTCAGTCTTAAGTCAATATACCATTGAGTTTTAACTCACCAAAACGGTTTTTACGAATACTCAACAATAAAAATTCTTAACAATCTCTGTAGTGTAAATTTAGAATTTTCTGAGAATACAGTGATGATTGCGGTGCCACTTTACCCAGTTGACTTATATCTTTTATGCCAAGGGGTGAACAATTGATTACTTGAAACATGAGTTGTCCATTTCTCATATTTTACATTTCAGCAATGATATCAACAACGATTAAAGGACTGGTATTTTTCACATTTTCATTGCCTCTAATAATCAATAACTTCTACACAGAGATAGAACTATGGATAATGCCATTTACTGTTATGTTTAGACTAGAATCATAGAGTCAATGATAAAGTAAAGCTTTAATGAATTAATGGATCTGCAATCAACAAAAGTATCTCAAAGCAGACAGTGCCATTAGCAAGATAACTTAATGTGCTTGATGAACGAGGGCCAACATCCACAGTCCAATATTACTAATGACAGAGAAAGTAAATAATAAATTTTGATATGTGCATTTGTGATTCCTCCGGTGTGCATTAGGTAATATTGCATTTTGTCAATTACTTTGAACCCATCTCAATTATCATTCCTATTAAGATGATCAGAAATAAATCGATTTTTTATTTTCTCCCTCTTTAAATGATGTTGCTGTCACTTTTAGCCATAATAGCAAAATCGTGTTAAATGCTAAATGCATGTTATTTGTATATGCTTAGTGGGAAACCATGTAAAATACTTAGATGTAAAAAGCGTGTTTGTTGGACGTGTTCCCTCTAGGAAATGCTGCTTAATGGATGTGGCCTTTCAGGATATTAGCAAAATTGTTTATGCTTTAATGTTAAAAGATTCTACATCAAATAAATTTTTCACTTCCAACCAAATGACGATAGATAAATGTTGGATAGTTTAAGGTGTATAGCATATTTTTCATTTATAAAATATGTCCTGCTTTGCTTTGAATAAAGCTTTCGTAGATTCCAGCAATTTAGAAGTAGCAGCACTTATCAAAGTTTATCAATTCGCTAAACATTTATAACAGGAATCATTTGGAAAATAAATAGTTTACTACAGATAAAATATATTTCTTTTAACAGAGAGAAGTGTTTCTATTTTTTGAAGGAATATCCTGATGTTTTAAAAAGTGCTATGAAAAATGTGAGGATAAATTTTGAAAATTCTATGTAAAACGATGGCTTCAAAATAAGCATTAGCGCTTTGCTTAACAGCAAAACGAATTCTGAAAGCTGGATCTAAATTTTCCAGCCGAGTGCTCCTCAGACGAAGATGTCACCAAAGACAGATTATATTCTTTTGGGATATTGTAAGCTACAGGTAATATTTTATTGATCAGTGTCTCAGATATTTTATTCCTTCTGGAATAACTTGCAATGTGCAATTTACTTTTAACAAAATTAGCTGTTAATGAGACACACAGGATTAATTATAACTCCTATGGTGGAATGGATTTTAATATAAAAAAGAAAGTAATTTCAATTTGAATGGCATAACCCGCACAGTTGATTAAAAATTTAAAAAATGCCATTCAATATGTATTCTTTTTATTATTATAATATATATATATATATATATATATATATATATATATATATATTCTTGGATATAAATAAAAAATACATTACGTACTTTTTCATCACCTTAATCATATTCAATATTCCCTGAAACAATAAAAACTTTCAAAAACTAAGTTTATATTTTACATTTTTATTGTATAAATAAAATATAGTAAAACAGTTATAACTTCAATTTCTTCAACTATTTCTTGGCTTTCAAATATTTGGCTTTGAGCGTGCCTGACGAAGGTAAATCAAGAAAAGCGCTTCGAATGCATGTAAATTTATAAAGTGTTGTTTTTCATTTTCATAAAATTGGTGACACAATGGGCGTCTGATAATAAGATTAATGGTTTTACAAGTTGTGTACACTAATATATATACTTAGACATGTATTACAAGTAGAACAAAATTGTCCATATGAACATCGGAATTACATGTTATTTTCATTTCTCGGTAATATTATTGTTTAAACTAAGGAAAATAAGTTTTTATATGCCTCGATACTGGACGTCTATAAATATATCATTAAACATTTAGTATTAACAAAAGTATAAGTACTAGGTGAAAAATAGTAGTTTACGGGAAAATTTGATTTCAAAATGACCTTTCATATTGAAACATAGCTTATAGGCGTTCTTATATTCAAACTAAACGTTTCATTTTTTTTTATAAATCTCATGTGAATCAAATCTCATGCTTGATTTGATAAATTTTGGGAAAGCAATGTAAAAGTTATACATGTATATATTTACGCGGTTCCGTTCATTTTGTGTACAATGTTTGTGTAGAATATTCTTAAGTATTTCTCCATTGACTAACCTGTGTTTCCATTGAAAAGACACTATACATAAGATGAAAAAAAGATGCGAATATATTTTTGAGTGGTCATATCAAATTTAGCGCGAATACATGCATTCTTTCAAGATTTTCAGAGGTAAACCTATAGGATGTCCTGGAATAAAACATAAAACTAATATTTTTCCATTACATAAGCTGAGACTCTTTAATAAATTTTTAAAACGGAGAAACTTAAATATAGAAGATATATTCCTTTTAAAACTCTGAAACTATGACCATTTTTTCAAGGCAAAATAACTAATATAAATGCATTTGTGCCAAATGATTATGACATATGTTAAAAATTCCGAAAACGATAGGGGTCGTCTCTCCATGTTTGGCTTCAATATGTTTTTCCACAGATATTGATCTGCTATTTATATTTTATAATAAAAATAATTTTTTAACAGAAAACGCTTTAATTGTCAATTTTATTTACCCTTTTTTCAATTTGTTTACCGTTCCTGATGACGTTAACCAAGAGAATCGCTTCGGATGCACGAAATATATTACGTGTAATTTTCATTTTATTAGTTATGACGTATATATGACGTCACAGTGACAAAATATTTGACATTTTTGCATAAATAAGTGCTTAGCATATATTAAATGAAATTAATACTCTCTTTTTTTAAACGTTATTCGATAAATAAATTGCATCTATCATACCCCTCCCGGAAAACATTTTATATGTTTTATATTCCGGCAAATTTTTACAGCAATATTTGAAAACAATATTTTGCTCATTTTTTCTAAAAAGTTGCTTAGGTCGTTGTTTCATAAAACTCTTTGGTGAATGGAGATTTGAGATCCTGAATATGACAGCTTTTAAATATTTTTAACCCCATAAGAACTAAATATGTGTACAAAAAATATGCTGACAAACAAGGCAACTATCAAACACTCAGTTATATATTTGCGCGAAATGTTTAATTTTACTACACTTCTACTTTCATGTACATAGGTTGTATCAAAGATTTGAAACATAAATTAAATACATAACCGCATTACAAAATGGTTTTAGCAATTTCAGTGTCAAAATATATCAAAAACATGCATGTGGCATAAATCCGTGCCATCTTTTCAATGAAGATAATGTATCTGTATATATATATATCTAAAAAACTTTATAAACTAGAGTTTTAAAACTTCGTATTTAATAAATCCCATGTTTTTTATATAGATTTATTTTATCATTTTAAAAAGAAGAATAGTTTAAGAGCATATGTTGCATTTGTCTTTCATTGAAAACTACGGTGTGGTTTATGATGTTAAACTTTTTATGTACATGAGACAAATCACATGAAATATAAAGATGTTATATATATGCGTGTTACATGCTACATCGTGTTAGAAAAGAAAATATATTTGATAATCTGTTAATGCATTGATTCATAATTGTTTCGTCATTGTGCATATATTCTGGTTTGCAGGTTACAGAATTATCATATGATTACTGTACCGGATGGAAGACTCTTTTGTGATTATACCATTGACCATGCACAAATCTTTAGAATAATCTGAAGGAGTTACACTGAACTGCTTCCTCCCTTAAAATTATAATAAAAAAATCCCTACAATTGACATTTCCGAGGTGAAGTTATCTTCAGCAAGGTTTGGTAAAAAAGAAACACTTCATTTTTTCAATTCAGTTTTTAATAGATAGAGCTGACCATGACGGATACTTGTATCAGAAGGTAGAAAACCGATGTATGTTCAAATATCACAAGTCTAAGTATAACTAAACAGTTAAATATGGGAGGATTAGTGGTCGGTATTACAAGCTCTCTAAACGCAATGAGACCTAATATGTGGACAGATTAGCCATAACGTATGCAAAACATGCTTACAACTGAAAAGAAAAGCAATTTCTGTTGATTCAAATTCGTCTTATTAAAAGCTAGTAATCATTTTCAACTAGTTGAACCTAAATAGAATCAAACATCAAGTTATTTATATAAGAGTGTAGATTTAGCACCATCCAAACCTGTCATTGAAAAAAAATCTGTACTATATGTTGGCATTGGACGTTATCAAAGGGTTGGGCATGAAAGGACTTAATTTGACCCTAAATATTGAACTGTCTAATATCATGTCTAAATAAAACTATTTATACGATCTGTCAGATATTTTGAGATATTTACGAAAGTTTGACAACAGTTTTCATTTCCTTTCTTCAAATCAATAATATATGACAATGTTTATTGCAAACAATTCAAAGTTTCTCTTATATACAGTACCATAGGTACATTATTCAGTACTTTGGGCTGACAAGACAACAGCGTATAAATAAGATGTTATGCTGAATGTTTGTTTATCAAAAAGGTTTTGCATTTCAGTGAAACTGAAACTCAGTTCCAAAACAGCAATAGTGAATAAGCAATGACAAGAGTCAATAACCACTTACTGAACTCTAATCACTCCCAGGGACAAAATTAAAAAGTTTTGACAATTATCAAAATTCTACAAAGAGTGTAGATAATATGCTTAAATCATTTTTGCATATCTCCATAAAGGTAAAATATTAATTAAGCGCTACACATATTGCTGTTTGATACCTTATTTGTCAAGTTTACAGGAGAGATTGGCGCTTTACATAGAAAAAATCTTCTAACATGGTGATCATTCGAACAATTGGACTGACATAGCCGTAAATGGGTAAATAAACTCATCAATGGGTACATGAACTCAGCAAGTAAAGGCAATGAGTTGGACTATAGGTTTGAGGTTCAATTTATCTATGTATATTGACAAAATGAGATGTGGTATGATTGCCAATGAGACAACTATATATATATACATATATATATATATATATACACCAAAGTCAAAATGACAAGGATGTCACTACACCATGAGCATCTGATACGGCGGACAATTTACAAGTACATGAATACTGCCTTTATTCAATCTTCAAGAAAGTCATATTGGAATTTCAAAATATAGTATAACATCTGATATATTTTGAAATTTCCAATTTACAAAATATATCTATAACAATAGTTAGACTATGTTGGATGTTTTGGAGTACTTTCCATATTTTATGAATAGTATTTCTTCACACACAACTTCGTTTAAAATTTATAATGTTTTTAAATGATTGTCTATTGTGTTGTAGAAGTGTTGTTCCAAAAGTTGCATGCATATACTCAAAGGACCGTTTAAAAGTTCCTTAACAAAATGTAGTGTCCGTAACGTTTACCAATTTATCAAAGATCTAGCAAGATCCTCCAAGCATGTTTTTAAATCCAAACAGGTATTTTTTTTTTTAATTTTCATTACTGAGGTAAAATATAAAGAAGCGCTTAAATAGAAATAAAAAAACGTGGATGATTATAAACTAAATTTATTACATCTACTTTACTGCAATTTGAGTGCTAATGAAAACACTATATATTGTATGTATAATTAAAATTCGTGTTAATATAATGAAAATTGCTTTTTTATAAGTATTTATCATATTGTTATTGTAAGCGGACAGATGTCCCATATGATAATTTAATGTTTTTGCTTGCATCAATCCTCCTCTTTACAATGAAAACCATCTGGAGATATATTTATGAAGTGTAATTGAGGCTTTCTTCAAGTGATACTTAACTTTAACAACTCTTGTTCATAACACACTTCATCATCTTTTAGTTTAAATCTGCTGCAGATTTATTTTCCTCTTCAAAAATTGACGGGGCACAAGTTATCATCATTTTGTCAAAATTATAACTTAAAGAGGTAAATCGAACGCACCTGCGCCACGTGATTTAGTGAGATCTAATTTTACGAAACTAATTCTTTATAAACAAACTATCTGGTTTTGAATCATTAGTGAGGTGTATTTGTAATTATCGTGAACTATTAATTATACAATTTACGACAATAAATATTACGACATTAGACTGGACATTTTTTTTTCTTCAAATCAAACAT